GCACTATCCAGTTAAGATATAAGATATTCATTTAACATCTATATGTAATTTACCACCATCGAGCAATTAGTATTATTTATGTCAGGGGTTGACAGCATATGGCCCAAGGACTATATTTGGCCTATGGAGTGACCAGATCCATCCTGCGGATCTGAGGCTCTAGCAGCAATCAGGGGTGAAGGCTTCTTCCATGCCATCATGGGTAGAAGCATCAGTGGGCAAGTCCTAGTGCCCACCCAGCTCCAATCTGAGCTGGGTCATCTCAGCCCACAGCCTGAAAAGGTACTAACTGCTGCTATAAGGCAATTTATAAACCTATGGAAAAAAGCCTGGAAGAGGAGTAAACTTGCCCTCCACGGTGCGGATAGAAATAACTTCTGTAATATTTAAAAGTGATGTGGGTTTGAAAACATTTACAAGATGAAATTTCAGGCGTGGGACGCATACAACCCTTGTAGCACTCCCCAGCTGTAACGCTTCAAAATTTCTGCCCGCAGCCACTGCACTCCAGCTACAGGCACTATACGAAGTGAAGAATGCTTCTTGGACTGACGGGAGGGCTAAAGAGGATTCTGACTCTCCAGCCTGAATCCCTTTTCTCTCTCCCACTCAGCTGAGCAGCTAGAAGGGATTGGGACTGAAGGACTGGAGAATGGGATGCAGCAGCTGCGGTCTGGCAGGCTTTCAGTCCATCCTGCTCTCTCTTCCCCCCCATGGCAGGAAAAAGTGGAGATGGGAGGAAAGAAGCAACGTACCATGGGATTTTGGAGGACACATATACCCCTTGTCCCTCCTGAAACATAGAAGATGCTGAATTTTAGCCCATTTTGGATTTAAACTTAATTGCTGAACAAGAAAGATTTCTACACTGGCCTTTCTGCCACTTGACACCACCAGGGAAGGAATGCTGCCTTATCTGCACATCAAAGAGTAACTCACACTCTTACAGACCCAGAGAAACAGACTTCCACCGTCAGCTCCCTCTGTGCAAAAAAAGTTTATTTTCTACCTACGGGGACTTTTTACCATCTTTAATTTTCCCTAAGCCTGAGGAAGGGGCGTGTACCCGAAAGCTTGCAGAAAAAGATTTTTTTTGCGATTTTGTAGTTGGTCTAATAAAAGGTATCATCTCTGAACCAAGAGTTCTAGTTTTGCGTTCCCTTGTCCCCATGCGCTTAGGCAACCTGAAATGCTTCATGGGAGTACCTCATTTCAAGAGATACTATTTTGGCGTGCTTCCACAACCCTGCAAAGGCATGTGTTTTTGTACAGCTGGACCTCTGGAGCATTTCGTAGAGATCTGAGATGGTTCAGTTACTTCTGTCCACACCCCAAGAAAGTAAATTTAATGGCAAGGTAGGAAAATGCTGAGAACAAGTGAGGCTGAGCTGTCCTGCACGAGCAGTCTCTGAAGTGGCAGCAGGACATTCAGCTTGTGGGTTTCTACTGCCACCTAGAGAGGATGGGCACAAAGTAGACACATTTTACCATAGGCTGTGGTGGGTGCTTTGTTTGCTATACTCCAAATGCACATTATTTATAAGGCCAAGGCTCTACTGCAGCTGAAGCTCTTAAGCTTACCATATTTTCCAAAATCCAAGATAAGATTTTCTCTCACTGATCAGCATGGAGGTGGGGCTCATCTTAGAGAAGTGCTTTTCAAGCAGTGTGCTGTGAACAGCTCCCTGGTGTGCCGTGAGAATTTTGGAATCATGAGAAAATCAGTTCTCTAACTGCCTAGTGCTAATGAATAATGTGCGTCATTGAGATATTCACAGAGGACTCAGCCATGTGTTGGCTGTGGGGGAGAGAGAACCAGCTGAGCAGGAAACTTCTCAACTGCACATGTGTGGGCTGTGGGGATGCAGAGTTTGCAAGCCTCTAAACAACTATGCCAAGGAATTTTGCCACGGCAATGAGCTAGTAAATATGGGGATGAGGAATGCCTTAACAGATGTGCCACAGAAAATTTTTATTGATATAAGTGTGCCTTGGGCTGGAAAAGGTTGGGAAAACACTGAACTAGAGTACCAGCCTGGGGCTGAAACTGGAGTTGAGTTCCTGCCTGTCTAGGCCAGGGTGGCTTGCATTGCAAAGAAGGGGGCAGTACATAGGGAGACCTGGGGTGGGGGAATGCAGGGAGACCACACAGCTGGACCTCACACTTGCCTCCAGGCTCTGACTCCAGCCCCAACCACATGCAGAGTTGCTGCTACTGTTTTTGCTAAGCTGGGCTGGGGCCACCGCCTCTCCTGGAACTGGAGCCACCCAAAGGTAAATGACAGCAGGCATGCAGGGTGGTGGGGGGGGACACAAGCATCAAGGAGACAGACACAGAAACAGAGGGGCAGGTACTAGGGACAGGCAAGCAGAGACACGGGTGGGGCAAGGGGAAGCAGTCACAAGTATGGATGAAAGCAAGGGGTAGGGGTTTGGCACCTCACCCCTGACCACTGCTTTCTCTGCCATGGCAATGGAGAGGTGAATAAGATGATCCCCCACAATTAAGATCCTATACATGGGAAATTATAAAATGTATTGTTTTCCATAAATGAAATCTTAATTATGGGGAGGAGAGGGAAGGGGGTCATAAAGGTTGGAAGAGCCTTGGATTCCAATAAATACAAGATTAGGGTACCCTTGCAAAAGAGGAAGGGACGCAATTTGCCGTTAACAAAACACAGCAAGTTTGTACTTCTGGTAGCATCCAACATTTCTTCCCCTCCCCCCAAATTTCCAGTGGCAATGTTCTTACCTATGATAAGATTCCCACATTAGGATTCCAGTATCATATTTTTCATTACTATCCTTGAGTAGTAAAATATGCCTTGAAATCTTAGTCCTTCTATGAGTCTTTTTACCAGCAAGGGATTTCAGGACAGGCTCTGAGGAATAATTCACAATCTCAATCAAGCCGAAGGATCAGTTGTATAAAGGGCTCTCATTGGGCAATCCTGATCCGTTAAAAATGCCCCTTGATTGGCTGAAGAACAGAAGTTAATAGGGCCAACCTGGGTAAAGTAGCTGTACCACATCTGTTTCTGGTCCCAGGTACAATATAGGTCATACCAGGCCTATTACATTTGTCTTGCAGGGAGACTTGATTCCCCTGTATTTGTGACTTACTCTTAATGGGCAGAACAATTGCAGTTGAGAGCAGAGCTTTGTTGTCTCTCCCAGTGGCCTGATATAGAGCAACCAATTATATTCAAGGAAAAGATTGCCAGACACTTCAATCCATGTAGGGGTTTTAAGGAACAATTAAAGATCTGACTGTGCCTTAGAATGCCCAGAGGCATAGATGCCATCTGCTCATCCTTTCTTTGCTGGGGGTGATTGTGACATCCTTAATTACCACTCTGGGCAGGATGCCCTGTTCAGAATTGCCTTTCTGGTATGTTTGAGCAAGAAGTTTTGCAGCAGGCCCCCCAAAAAAGGACTCAACTTGCCATCTTCTTTGGGGGTAAAACTGAATAGCACCACGGGTTTTGACCTTTGCTTTAATTCATCTCATTTGGAACTTGCTGCGCAGCATCCATCTGTTCAACTTGTTTTATAGTACAAGCCTTCTGTTCACAGGCTGGAATTCTTCCCTCCCTTCTTTAATCCCAAGCACCTAAAGGTTGAAATATTAAAGTTATTAGTGTTGTCTGCATCAGGCTATAGCTGGGCAGAGTAGACTTTGTTCAGCAACAGGTTGTTTGGTGAAAGCCTGACACTGAAGTGGGGGCATTTTGTTTAGCTTTTTGCCCCACATGCCACACTATAAGACTGTGCCAGGTAGTAAATGTCAAATAAGATTTAGACCTGGGGTGTCAAACTCGTTTTGGCCCAGGGACCAGATCTAGAGTGGGGATTCCAAACTAGGAATTTGGCAGCAGCTCAAGTGACAGTAGTGTTGACCCCTCAGACGCCATCCTCACAGACATGGGAGCTCTGGAACCCAGGGCAGTTAATGTTGCTGCCCTCACTCGCACCTCTGCTGAACTTCAGGCCCGTGACCCACGTTTCATAATCCTTATTTAGATGAACAGCATCCACGACACAGCCTAACAGACCTGTTCTAAACCCATTTTCCAGAGCAATAGGCACTGGCTTGGTCATCGATTCTGAAACTAAACGTCCAGAGGCTGAGTTAGCCTCTGTTTCGCCTTGTTACTCTCCAGGAGATAAACATCAATCACGTTTCCCAGGAAGGATTAGATTTCATGCAGAAGCTTGGAGCTACCCCAAAGGCAAAGCTTTCCCAGCTAAGCTGTTGCTGGCAAGATTGCATTACTCAAAGAGCTGTGATACTGCTGAGTATGGTTAAGCTGGTGTTAAAACCTGAAAATGTTCAGGATTGGGGGGGGGAAGAAGTGAGGTACTGAAGGTGGGCCTTCTTCCTCCTGTTTTCTCTTTGAAAGCTACCACTTATCTGAAAACCTAGATACCTGCATCTAGCCTGTGGCCACTCTCCCCTCCCTTTCCCAGGTATTTATAGCTAGGCGCAGATGTTGATGCTTGGGCTAGGTAAGCAAGGTGTGAGCAGATAACGGCAGACACAGGCTCTTCCAGCCTAGCTGCTCCCCTGCACCCACTGTCTGCCTCCTCTGCAAGGAGATAAACCCTGTAATAAATAAATCCGTTTTTGTAATTGGGTGCTGTTCAATACATAAAAGTGATGGAGGGGTGTTTTGAGTCTAAAGAGGTTGAGAACCACCTCACTAAGTTATTCTTT